TTCGTAATAACAACAACGATGGGCTAACCTCTGACAGCAATGAGTCATTCAATCACGACAATTATATCGGACGGAACTTTTGGGGTTATATTAAAAACTTTGTTAATAATGAGGACTCAATATTACCATCATTTAACGTGACAGATTGCTTTACTTATTTTTCTAAATCTCTGGCTAAAATTAATCCTAATAGACTGTTTAACATTCCCAGCTGGATTCCAAAGTTATTCGATCCCGAAATTCAATTCAACCTTGACCCCCCGACTTACCAACAAATTACTAATGTGATACGTAAAATGAAATCGTCTGGCTCCCCTTGCCCCCTTGATCAGCTTTCGATAATACGTTTTAAGCGATGTCCTTATCTGAGAACTTACCTCAGTAAACTAATTCAAGAAATTTGGCTATCTGGAACTGTCCCGAATGAATGGAAAAAAGCCTGTACTATTTTAATACATAAGAAAGGCAACACTGATGATCAATGAAATTTCCGTCCCATAACACTTGAGTCCATACCATTAAAAGTATTTACATCTTGTCTTCAAAACTCAATATATTCCTTCCTCGCATCCAATAACTTTATCGAACACGGCATACAAAAGGGCTTCACCCCTAACCTATCTGGCACTCTAGAACACACTGCGCAAATGGCTGACATCATTAACAAAGCCCGCATCAGACAAAGCTCTGTTGTCATCACCCTACTTGATCTGAAGAATGCGTTCGGCGAAGTCCACCACAATCTCATCCAATCAGTACTCGACTATCACCGCCTCCCAGAACACATAAAATTCGTTATAAAAAGTTTATACACTGATTTACAAACCTCAATAATTACCTCCGAATTCCGCACCCCTTTTATATCTGTTGGCCGTGGCGTATTGCAAGGAGATTGCCTCAGTCCTCTTCTTTTCAATATGTGTTTTAATACTTTCATCCAACATATAAAAGCTGAAAAGTACCGTCAGTTTGGCTTCTCCTTCAAGCTATTAAATCCTATCCACTGGTTGCAGTTCGCTGAGGACGCAGCCGTAATCACTGGCCAAGAATCTGAAAAGCAGCATCTCTTAAATCGTTTTTCCATCTGGTGCCAATGGTCCAATATGATTATCAGAGTCGATAAATGTAGTACCTTTGGCATCAAGAAAGTCATCAGAAAATCAGTCCAATATTTGCCGAAACTCCTCATCAACAACAATCTGATACCAACAATAAAGACTGGAGAAGCATTTCAATACTTAGGACGTTACTTTGATTTTAACATGTCGAATAATAACCATAAGACTGAACTAACCACTCTCGTTAATGAACTAATGACTGATATTGACTCGAAGCCACTCCACCCAAGAAATAAGCTTCTCGTGTACAGTCGTTATGTCTTATCCAAATTATCTTGGCATTTCACCATCGCAACACTTTCTAAAACATGCATTATTGAAAATATTGATCCCGTAGTCAACCAATACATCCGTAAATGGCTTGAAATTCCAATCTCAGGAACACTAAGTACTGTTTTTCTAACTTGTAACAAATTTGGTCAAAGTATTTATCCTCCATCGGTGAAATTTATCCAATGCCAAACAGTTCTTCGAAAAGCTTTAAAACTTTATCCTAATCAATCAATTAACGAACTGTGGAAATCTACTAATACTCATACTAATATCCAATACAACCTTGATAACTCAACCAAAGAAGTGCTTAAAGATTTTCGCTCTGAACATGAAGATAAACTCAAAAACCAATCAACTTATCACGGATCCTTTTTCTCTAATGTAACAAAATTCTCCTTGTCGCATCTTAACAAAGTGTGGTCTACTGCTCAAACAAAACTTCCGAAAAACATTTATAACTTTACTATACGCTATATCAATAACTCTCTTCCGACACGTATGAATGCTCCTTTTCAGAAGTGGTCGCTGGATGTCAGCGTTATCTCGATCGATTTACGTGGAGGCACAATTTAATCCTGAACTTTCTTGCCAATACTTTGCAAACTGTGAACGGTTCTGCCCTCTACGCTGTTGTGCCCGGATTCAAAAGTCCGTCAATAATAACTGGTGATACGTATCGCCCGGTGTAAATTGGAAAATCGGTTAAAATGTCAAGGTTCATTCTTCTCCAGCATCTCAAAATTTTCACTACCCCAAGTAAATTCGATTTGGCCAACCTGTCAATCCAAACTACCAAAAAACATTTTCAACTTCACTATTCGCTACATAAACAATTCGCTACCAACCCGTAAAAACCTTCAAAAATGGGGACTCTCCTCGTCTTCTGAGTGCACGTTTTGCCTTAAACCTGAATCTCTGTTACACGTTGTTGCTGGCTGTAGTTCCTATCTTGATCGATTTACTTGGAGACACGACTGAATCTTAAATTATATTGCTAATAGCCTCCCATTAGAACAGATATTTAGACCATTTATGCTGACTTACCATCATTCCCTAATCCCTCTATTATTACTGGTGATGACTATCGTCCTGATCTACTAATTTTGACCAAAGACGATTGTCTGTATGTACTCGAACTAACCGTTGGATATGAGACTAACCTAAGGAATAATATACAGCGCAAATACTCAAAATATAAAGAGATGATCGTAGAACAAAAGAAAAAATTCCGGCCGGTAAAGTTCATTAACCTCTCAATCAGTGCACTCGGTGTTTTTGAAAAAGAATCTTCAGATTTCATACAAATGTTGGAACATTTGAACTCAGATAAGGCCCGTGTTAAATATACCATTAGGAAAATCATTAACATTGCAATAAGAACGACATATTACGTTTTCTGTTCTAGAAACAAGGATTGGTCGAATCCAGATTTAATGAACTTCTAGTTAGTCTCTTACTTTTTGTATCATATAATTATGTCCATGTGTTATGTAAATGTAGTAATGTATAGTGTATCAAGTAGCCAATTGTAAATTACCTTTAACAGTGAGATTTTTAATTGTAAGTGCATAAAAAAATTCAATAAAGTTTTCATTATTAAGGACGTTTCACGTGGCATCATGATTCGGTGCTTAACTTCGTAGCATCCATACTTAAATCTGTAAATCATTCTAACCTTTATGCTGACCTTCCAGGCTATATCAGTCCATCTGTTCTCACCGGAGATGAATTACGCCCTGATCTTTTGATAACACTTGAAAACAAATGTATTTATATACTTGAACATACCGTCGGATTTGAATCTAATCTCCTTGCTAATGCAACTCGAAAAAGACAAAAATATCAAGATCTAATTAACGAACAGCTCAAAAATTATGAAAAAGTAAAATTTGTAAATTTATTGATTAGTTCATTAGGAGTTTTCAGCCACCCGTCGCTAGATTTCACTGAAATGCTCAAAGATCTAATGTTTGATGAACAATGTAGAAAGTACTATGTTCGGAAAATTATTAACATATGTATCAGGTCCTCGTATTATATATTCTGTAAGCGTAACAAAGAACGTAGACACTGGTAAACTACCTGTAAAGAGAGGTTTATCATTGTAGTATGTATATATATATTATTGAAAGTAATAAAGTTTCCATTATTATTATTATTATTATTGATTAAAAATCTGACATTGTAACCCGAAGGTTAAATTGCGTTAGTAATTTACATGGAATTAATCTTGTAAATAGAATACTATTTTCAAGAGTAAATAGAACACTATTTACAAGAAAAGTCAGAAATATAATTGTACCTATGTAAGAAAAAAGGAGAGATAATTATTGTTTTAAAATTATTAGCCTGCGATAAAATTATTTATAGAAAGAAGGAAGTCTTGAGTCGTTCAGTGCAACAACGATAATGTTTATATAGATTATTACATCTTAGTTCATAATTAGTCACTTTTTTTTTTTAATTGCCCATAATATTTTTATTTTACCTTTATTTACAATGATTGTATATATATATAGATATATATATATATATATATATATATATACATATATATATATATATATATATATATATATATATATATATATATATATATATATATATATATATATATATATATATATATATATATATATATTAGGGCCTACTAGAAACCTATAAGGTTTTTGTTTAAGGCCCCCAGACTACAGATTGTTTTTTTTTTAATTATTATTACAGTACAAATTAACCAGTTCATAAAAATAATATATGTACAGCTAGGAAAGATAAGTATATATAAAATAAAATAACTGCAAATCCAACGAATTTTTGTATGTTGTTTCTATCTTGATATACACACACAATGGTATACTGTATGTCATGATACCATCCAGCATAATTATAATATTTAAATATACTAAACACAATCATAACACACATCATTGCATTACATAACTGTAAGTTTACTTCTTATTTGATAATAAGTGTTTCTTAATTCTCTTCTTGAAAACATTATAAGATTTAATATTTTTATATTCATAATCCATATTATTCCAAACGTCAACTCCATTATGAGTAAGAATCTGTTTTGCATAATTTGTTCTTTTAAAAGTTTTGTGAAGTTGAGATGCACTTCTTGTGTTGTAGTCATGAATTTCATTATTAGGTTTGAAATAATTTTTAAATATTTCTGGTAAGTTTCCTAAATGATGGTATCGAAACATGAATATACTAGTTAGATAGTCACTTATTTCTTCAATATTTAAAATTTCTAAATCTTTAAAAATTTGTTCAGTATGTTCTGAAGAAGATTTAAATGTCACTATTCTATTTTTCTCAGGTAGGTAATCTTTAAAGTGAGCATTAGCAAGATTGTTTTGGAAAAACTTAGTTGAGAAGTTCTCCCGACAGTTTTGTAGAGTTTCAAGGTCCAATGGACAACTTGCATGTTAGACTAAATTTTAATCTAAGTAAAGAGAAGGGAATCAAACACAACAGTTAAAAAGAACATAACGAAATTTAGTAAAATTGCAAAATTTGGTTGCGAAATGTGGCAAAATACAGGAAATATAGCCTTGCGAAGTTTGCATATTTTCAGTTAACAGGGGCGGATCTAGGATTTCTCAAACATAAGTCGAACGCCGAAGGCGTGAGGCATGCTAGGGGGGTCTGGGGCAAGCCCTCCCCGCCCGAAAATTTTGAAATCTAGAGTCTCTAAAATGTGATTTCAAGCGTTTTGGCGGTGAGATTTTGCAGAATTCCAAAGATTATAAAGTACATCAAGCACATGATTTTTTATGATCTCACAAACGTGCCTTCTCCCAGTCCTCGGAATTAGATTTACTAACGGAAGGTCATATTACAAAACACATCATGTAGTTTCAATAGCCTTTAAGTCAGTTGGCTCACGAAATTCTTCGCAAATTGAAGTGACATGATACCAATGACCGATCCAATATAACTCGCTGTTTGTGAATCAAAATTTTCAAGCAAAATAAAGAGTAGGCATAATATTTCAATTATACTTTGTAAAATGCATTTTTTATTCAATGAATTACAACATGCTATAGCCTAAATAAATTGACTTGTCACTTGTATATTATAACGATATTCATCGCCAATCTTTCATGCAATGCAAATTATCCAAATGATATTGTTTTAACACTCCAATGGCAATGCTCTATTCTGGCCCTTTTTATAATGGGCAATGCATTTATAAGTATACTAGATAAAACATTCGCATCCGATCTGTATCTGATATACAAACTCTCGCCAAAACGACCCATCTTATGAGTTCATTGGCGAAGTAATTTTAAAAACTAGAAAATACATCCATGCAGAAACCCTCGCCTTGCTGACAAAACCATTTTATTTTCCGAACGTAAAGTATTTAAAGTAGTTGTCATGGTAACACGATAATTTTTTAAGAATATTTTTAAAAATGAAAAATCCCCTAAAAATATAACTTTTAATTACAAAATTATCAATTTCCCAAACATATATATGTTAGGTATGTTATTATACGTAATATAAGCTTCAATTTAAAGGTAAAATTCAATCACAAACGCTTCGCAAAACGTGTTCTTTTAATATAGAACTAAACTGCCTTTATCGATAAACTTTGAGTTCGAAATAAAATTATTCCAAATTATCCCATGCAAATAACTTTGCTTAGTATAATAAAAAGTGTAATCAATAAAGAAACACTGAAATAATACGCTGTCTTGTTTCATATTTATACGCAACGCCAACGGCAACGATATTTAATACAGTATATTAAACTCAAACAATGCATCAATATTTAAAATTAACAAACTTACCTTCGTTAACGTCGGCGCCTTTACTCCCTTCTTTTAGCAATTCTTTTGCCTTTATTTCATCAAAAATCTTTGAAATTTACAAAATCTTGCAAAAATGAAATATATTTGAAAAAAATATTCAATTTCGCTGTCGTCATGCAGCCGTTATAATGCCAATTTTAAATTGGACGAATCAGTGTTGGCTATTCATGACAGTCCGCTGTATTATGAGATCAGTGAGGATGACCACCCACCGAAACACGCACAGTGACCCACGTCCGCGATAATTGATGAACTTTAGACTTCGCTGATGGTTTCGTTTCCCAGGGTGTAAATAGCCGGGGGGAATTAGTACCCTCGCACGGCGCTTCGCGCCGTTGGCTCGGGGATAATATACTGTTCAGTCTGTTGGATTATGTTACATTTGAAATATATTGACCACAACAAGCACAGTATAAAAGCATTATATATGCCAGTGCAATTCAGTAAATATGTTATACTAAAAGCTACACGATTTTCGCAAAACTGATATTCTAAAACACTCAGTAATTCGAAGAGGTTAAGAGGCAGTCCGTGTAAAAACCGACCATTCGAATTTCTTAAGATTACAGATTTCCTTCAAACTTTCTGTGTGGAAGAAGTCATTCATAAAATGAACAAAAAACGTTGACTTTGAAATTGTAGTCAGTTTTAAAAATTTTTTCGCAATTATTTTCGAACGCGTTCGAAAACAAGTTAAAACGTTAATTACGCAAGTGATATTTGAGCTTTTTTATATCTCACAGTTCATCT